ATAACTCACTCAGGATTGAGAATGAGTTGTCTGGTCATCCTAAGAAATAGCAATCTATTAGTTAACGGTGTTACATCTAAAGATTGTCTATTTCGCGGTCCGATCTTATACAAACTCATTGTACCCCCACTCGCATGTCTCCACACGAACGACCTGGATCAAGTCGTCTGTAACCTTTACAGAGTGGGCCGTATCCATAGTGTTGTCAGGATAAGGTACCCAGCCTTATCCATATACTATAGACCCTTTAGGTTATTCACGGGATATTATTCATTCATATATCAGGGGTATATCAAATATATACTCCGTATATCAAATATATACTCAGTATATATACTGTCCCGATTACATTCAAATAACCTTGGATGTTTAGTTTATTGGATTTGGACAATGCAATGCTATGTTTCAACAACAGATTTATTGAATAAAACTTTATTGAATATACATTTGTTTTTACATAATACAAACTACGAGTTTAGGGCAACACACCCAACACTATATGATTTAAAATGTTACACATTTAAGTTCAAAGATTAAATTGTTATCAATTTAAAAGTATATAGACTAAATCGTTACTTCAATAAAAATACAATTACAGGGATAAAATATTTTTTATCCTAAAAGAAGTTTACCTTTTTGTCAACTCAATGAACTTTCAATTTATAGATAAATATATACCTAAACCAAACGAGCATGACCTCGATAACGAGTAAGTCTAGCTATCTAACCAAAGGCCAAGGTCAAAACAAAAGTTTGTCACTCTTGTGATAGATATACATTGGAACATATTTCAAAGCCATCAAACTCCAACAAATCAACATCCTCAAAGGCACCCCCATTTCAAGAATTACAATAATTAATATACAAAGAATAACAAAGTGAAGAAAAAAAATAGCTACAGATATATTTTCACTGTTCATATAAGGTGTTAGTATGCCTATCTCATGGTAGTACCAAAAATTTCCCGCGAGGTGTAGATTTGCTCCTTCTAAATTCAGCCACTGATCCACTGCTTACTTCACTCTGAAACCGATTCCCATTCTCAACAGTAGAAACTGGCACTCTGTTCCATAATAAGTCACAAAATTTTCATCAGAGTTTAAACCACTAAACTCAAAAGCCTATCGAGTGAACTATTAATATCAATGAGGAAAAAATTCCTACTCTGATACCATGTTAAATCATCGATAAATCTAAAAGCTCGAACATTTCATATCATACCTCGGTGGCTCCAGATTCTGGGAGTTTCTGGGGAACTTCGGACAAGCTTTTTTAACCTTCAAAGCACCATCAAGAGGCAATCCCACAAGAAAATGCTCATTCTCCATCTCAGAGAAATCGCTCTTTCTTGCATCCTCCATTTTCCCACCAGCATAAATATCAGTAAGGAATGTTGTTACTGCATGTTCTTGCTGCTTCTGGTTATTGATCCTGGCTGCTGCACTGGGTAACTGCTGTTGCTTAGCTTTGGTTTTGCCTTCATTTCTGCCTCTCCTGGGCCCACCACCTTGAATTGTAATGAGAGACTGCTTCAGCTGCTGTTCATCTTCATTGTTTTCTTGGCAAACTAGTTGTTTCTTCTTTGTTGAGGCCATTGATTTGTGGAGACTAATCAATGCATCAGAGAAGTTTTCGTGCTCTTGGGAACTGATGTTTACTCGTCCTGCAGCCATGGACTTGTTAACAGGCACTCTAACCGGAAACGAAGGCTTTGCTATCGGTTGGTTCTCGTTCGTCTCTGATTTAACCTTGCTTCTCATAAGGGCGCCTCTATCTGTTGATATTGATCTCCTAACTGGTGGAGATGGAGACCTTGCATTCCCAGAGCTTGTACTTGTTGTTGATCTCTCTTCGGCTAAGAATGGCATTTTTATTACATCTTTCTCTGTGAATGAAGAGGGAAATCTTGGCCTTCTTTGCTTTCCTGAAGAGTAGCTTCTAGCCTGATATCATCAAAACTTGTCAAAATAGATGCATAGAGAAGAGAGTTGTTTAGTCTGCCTGTAGATTTTGATAAGTGTTTCAAAATGTTTCTATTGAACAGACACCATCTGGGAGGATTATTGTTTCTTTTCGTCTCCCATTACTATTTTTGTTTCGTTGAATGTATCACACCCGAAATTTTATAATTTTTGAGTCATTTTAATATCAAAATTAAGGACTAAATACTCACAAACGTCAAAGTTCAGTGACCAAATTTGTAAATTAACATAAAAACACAAAATGTCGTCATTCCTACCTCCAAAGTTTTAGCATCATCCAAAGGCCGTTGACAACTTTCAGGCTTAGTACCTCCATTAGTACCATGATGTCTTAGAACACGGAAGGGCGAGACTGTTCTTGGTTTCTGATTTTCTACAAAGGCCCGAGCGTTGCCACTCTTTAATTGTTCAAGTTCTGCATCCTTCCTCTCCAATGCCGATTTAAGATTTGATATCTGCGCAAAAATATGAAACACAAAGTTAAGTACTCACTACATGGGAAGAAAAAGAAGAAAAATGAATGGTCAGAACAGAACTAACCTCATCTTTAAGTTCTCGAATTTGACCATTTTCTTTATTACAACGAGCCGCACCTAATTCAATGGAGGCAACTCTCTCAGCAAACTTAAGCGTGCTAATTGTCTCTCCAAGGGAATCAACTTCGGGATTTATATGTACAAACATGAATGTCTTAGCCTGTCCACCTGTTTATTAAGGAAAATATGGAACATGTTATAACTCACTTCTAATCACATGCATTTTTTAACTCGAGACTGACTGTGATTCTAATTTGACAATGTTTACGAAGAAAACCCGAGCTACAGTATAGTCCAACAGAATGCTGAAAAGTTTACCTAAAGAGTCTTGTAGGAGTTGAGTGAGCTTGCTATTTCGGTAAGGGATATGTGCACTCTTTTGTGCAAGAGCAGAAATTACATCTCCAAGTGCAGAGAGCGATCTGTTTATATGTTGTGCTTCCTTTAGTCTGTCACCTACAGCTTCAGATTTGTCCACTCTTTCACTCCCAGCTAAATCTACTAGATGAAGACACCCCCTGAGAATGGATCCGGTGACCAAATCTCTTCCAAGGACATGAACTGTTAAAACACTACAACAAGATGCAGATGCACGAACATTTAGAAAGAGTCCAGTTGGTAGAATTAAGTCAAAAAAAGAAAAGCCTCTACCTGTGTGAACGACTACTTCTCTCATTTAAAGCCGTCGCGCCGATTGCTCGGTTTTTTTGGCCGATCCTCATCAAACTAAGAACATCTTGAGTACATGTCACCGGAACCCAACTTGCATCAGGTACATTAAGGCCACTCAGTTGAGAGTTATTTCGTATATCTAACGTACAAGCAGTTAAGGAAACAAATATAATAACAGAGATATTCAACCAAAAAAAAAAAAAAAGAAGTTTTGTTTAGATGCGTAAATTTTACTCTGTGACTTTGTTCTTTAAAAGGATATCTTCTGTTTGAGCCATCACTGACTAACAAGTCTCTCACTTGCTCATTGTATATTTCAATCATTTGAACTCCAACTTCATACTTGATCATATCCAACCTTGCATTTGATATTTGGAATAAGTCGTTTAGAGCTCGATAATTAACACCCCACGTGTCCTCAGTCATCAAATCTGGGCCACTCTGCAAGAAAAAGAATATATAAAAAGTTATCTTTGTCTGCAAGGAGATAAACTGGTTAATATCTATAAAAATGAAATTAAGTTCCCTCGTCTTCTTGTAATTACGGGACAATATGATGAGCTTAATGTTTACCATTGTATATGTCTTTCCTGAGCCAGTTTGTCCATATGCAAAGATGCATACATTAAAACCATCAAGAACAGATCTGATCAGCGGTTGAGTATCGACATATATTTGTTCTGCAAAAATTTTTAGAGACTTACCATAAGTGACATTTAATTGCAGATAAAGTGACATTTTATATTCAGCAATTAGTATTTGATTTGAAGTCTACATGTGTTGAATGCCACGGGTAACTTTAGTTATAAATCTGAATTATCGATATACCTTGGGTAACATTAGTTCCATAGACTTTATTGAAGGAAAATACTCTTCTTGCTTCTTTGCCTTGCTTTAGAGAATTTGCAATCATAATGTTCCCATTTTCTCCAATATAGTCTACTGTAGACTGCTGGTTTGACTGTCCAGGTAAGAAAGGTCTCACTCTACAGTAGACCCTTATTGTTCCTGTATTTACAAAATAACATTTGTTCGAGCACTCAATCCAGTTATTCTCATCATCAAAGAAGCAAGGACATGGCTACAAGACACATTTACGACGAGACATTATTTTCAAAGTAGGACACGTTTATTAAAAATATACATTTTTTAAATATATGTATGTTCACAAATGTCTAACACGTGTCCAAAGTATATACTTAACAACTATTTTACATGCCTCTAATAAGTGCATGATATATCTCCAATGTGTTCAATAAGTGTCCAACATGTGTCAATTGTGCTTAATAAGTGACATGTTCAACAACACTCACAGAGTGCTTTATATTGTCAGTTTTGAGACGATATCCAAACTAAAGCGTCCATGATTTCCGGCTGTTATTAAATTATTATTACCTTTAAGGTCTTGAACTTGATTGTAAAGTATACGATTTTCTTCCAAGACTTTGTGATAAGAAGAGGAAGCCATTTCAAGGCCCTTAAGATGGTGTTCTGGGAAAATAAACAGAATATAAGAATATTTACAATCTCAAAGGATGTAAATGACAGAGAAAAAAGAGCTTCAAGTTCTCAGACCTAGCCTTTCAACTTCTTCTTCCCATTGAGATTGTATGTGTTTAACTTCAAGTTTGGTGTCTTGAAATGCTGACTTTAGCTCCTGAAGGCCAACAAAATCAAGGTATATCAAAAGAAGATAAGCACAAACTAAAATTGGCTTGTCAATGAGCCTATCACATATTTGACAAAGCTACACAAAATGGAGTGACTACTCTTTATTAATAGTTTAAGAACTAGAAATGACACATATACAGTAAGCTCTCGCATTAACACCTGAATCTGTTTCTGCTGAGCATGAACCAGTTCTTCATGGCCAGCAGGAGCCCTAAGAATAACCTCACGTTTTCCTCCACAAACACAGAACTTGGAGAAGTCACTTGAAGCCATATTAGTTCTTTGATTGATGTATCGAGAAATTGCTTCAATGAATTCAGATTTTGATAGTGAACTTAAGTCGCTTTTCAATATCTTCTTCAGAAAGAATCCGAGCTGTAGGAACAAAGAAATAAACCTCAAGAACTCTTCAAATTACCATGCATTTCGTTAAATGTTGCATCAATTACCTGAGTGCCTTGAGACACAAGCAGTGCAGAGAAATCCTTGACAACCTTGTTAAGTAATGCATCAATGACCTACAATGTTTATAACATGTAACGTTAGATTCGTGTTAGCTACAGGAGTTACACATTTCGACTAGAGATTCTGAAGCCAAAAAATGAGGTACAACATGAAAAGGACCTTACCTACCATTGCATTTAAAGGCAAATCTTCGATCCCGTTGCTCTCTCTGAGGTAAGCTTGTAGAAGTTTGAGTCCAAAACGATCAAAAAGAAAAGCAAGAGCACTACAAGTTCTGGATTCTTCAACTGAAACTTCATTAGACAGATGAAGGAAGTCTAGTAGCTGCTCGAACTGAGATGAATCTGATTCGTGCACCGACTCATCTGTACTCTCACTTCCAGTTATGGATGGTGAACTTCTGGTGAAAGATGTGATACGTACAGTTCCTCCATATCTCCAAACCCCAATCCCACCGGCTTGCTTCCACTCATAATATCCTTTCAAGCATAGAATACACTCTACAACTTTACCCGAAGTACCTCCCTATATGCATCAAATTTTAACGAAAACATGAACATTTTCAGTGAAAACCTTCTACCAACTCAAGCAGAAAAAATTATATTAATAAGATTTGATACTAAAAAATAAAACTTGTATTGCAGAAGTAGATTAGGCATACTCAGAAAGAAGGTTACCTTTTCCAAGTCAGAAGCTTCAAATGTCAAGAGCTTCATGTCTTTAACTGCCTCCAAGAAGTTCCTCGTGTTCTCAAAATACTGGATTGCAGATTGTGCAGCTCCTTCCGCTGACTGAACTGTTACAACTGGATTCTCCACCACCTGTTATTATAAAATAAGAACTTCAGCTTCACCCCCACTTGAATTATTTGAAATTCTAATCACTCCCACTTAGACTATACACACAAAAATGAAGTCTAAAAAGCATACTATGACCTTGAGAACAGCACCAGGATTGACTTTGTTGAGGACATTGCAGAGAATGAGGCCATTGCGGAGTGCGAGACAGAACTCTTCTTCAGAGGGCTCATTTGACAGCACTCCTGATGCTCCATGATCCATTTGGCGTAGCCATTCTGCTGCTTGGCTCCTCCTGGAAGCTGGAAATAGATCACATTTACAAATAGCAATAAAAATATATATGAGCCGTAGATAAGTGAGCTTAACTCCTCCTGTAGTCTGCTGGCTCAATTGCAACAACTAAATGTCCATTACGAAAACCAAAACTAATAGCATGTTTGATAATGATTTTTTTTTCCCTGAAATTATGTTCTTTTACCAACTGCTTTCTTTGTTTTGTAATTTACTCTCATATACATATTTTAAAAGTGTTTTGTACTGGGCTGATGCCCCTTTTCTCTTCCGAAAAAAAAAATATTTTAAAAGTGTTTTTAAGAAGTGTAAAATCAAACACGCGCTTAATTTTTAGAAACTGTAAACTAAAAGCGCATCATTGTTAAACATAAAATATATTGCAAACTATTTTGAATCCACCTTACCAAGTTCAGAGAGAGCTCGTTTAAAACTCAGAAGATAAGATTAGATTCAAATCCAAACTTTCTGGATGAGAGTCAAATTAGTTCATAAGTCATGGATTAATCACCCCTCATAATCATGGACTCAATTTACTGTTCCCATTTATATTTTCAGCTAATGTTAGAGGTTGTGATAAAATAAAAGTGTTTTCGAAATTCACATTTTAAAAAAATAATATAATAATTAAAAGGCTAAATATCTAAATTCATTCCAATATTTGTGTCATTTTTCAATTTCATCTGTTTTAAAACTTTTAATTTAATCCCATATATATTAAATTTTTAAGCAAACATTTACAAAAAAAATTATATATGTATTATAAAAAAAATGTTACAACTTTTCATTTATTTTTTCAATATAGCATAAGTGTGACTTTGTTTGACGACTTTGTTTTATATTACATTTGAGTTTGAGTTCGATTTGGATTAAGCTAATTTGTAAAATTTTGAACAGTTAGATGCTATTTAGGTAAATGCTCTATAAAAATGAGCTACAACTAACCATTCAAATGAAAAGATACCATACTCAGATTCATATACCATTAACACTAAGGACATGATAATTGAAGTATATCTCAAATAACTAGTTACTTGTTCATCCTATTTTGATTCAAATGTCCTCCCATTATTTTAACATTAGCGAAAAAAAAAAAAAAGGGGTCAATCGGCTTTTTCTTAGGTCCTGGAATGTGATTTTCCAGTCTAGCTTTCCTCCTATTCCTAAGGACAACAATGTTTTAATGTCAAGTTCAGCCATGGAAGAAGCTGAGTATAATTGAGTAATCTGACGGCGTGGGAGTAGTTGGTGGAGAGAATACCCTATAGTCTCTATCAATATCATTATTTGACTTCCCCTCCATAAATAACTTAAAGGCAATAGCTCTATGATGGAGATCAGAGCTCCTCTTTCAAAATATATATATATATATATATATATATATATATATCTCCAGTTCTTCACCTACTAAATAATTGTTCTATTCAAACGGATTAAAAAGAAGAAAGAAAAAAAAAAACCTTCTTTCGGCTGGACATGGACCTATCTCTTTAGCAGATGGACCCAGACCCAGATTACTTGAAGCGAAATTATGGGTTCATTTCTTCATTCGCAACATTGCTCCCACGACTTTACCTTTTTTTTTTTTCTCTTTTTTTCCTTTTTCCCCTTTATTACTCTGTTCACCTTCACCCACTTTTTCCTAAATTTGTGGAATTAGTCCAAAATGTCATTATTATTTAGTAGCATATAAATAAATAAGTGGGTAACGGTAAATTACCATTTTACCCCTGTTTCAATTTACTCCTTGCCATTTTAAAAGTTTCAATTTGGTTATAGTATTTATAAAAATACCTTTGAAGTTTTACACTACACTCTCGTGCTTTTCTTTTTTAGGCCAGAAATTGACATGCTAGGAAAATTTTACTAAAATTTTTTAAATTATAGAACTAAAGTATTAATTTGAATGTCTGAAGTTTTTTTTTTTATATACGTTAGCTATATTTTAATTTCGTGTGCTCTTCGAATTTTGAATTGTGGTAGTGTACTTTTCTGGTACCGTTTGAAGAGATTTTCAAAAATGGAGTGGGTGTGATGAGAAATTGAAGGGCATGGGTAAAGTGGGTGTAAAGAGAAAATTCCGTGAAATTTCAAAAAAAGAAGTTGCTCAACTTGGCAGAAACCTTGAACGAAGAGTCATCTAAATATCTAATTTGAAAAGAAAAAAAGAATGAAAAAGAAATGGAAAGAACTCTTCGATTGAGAACATAAAAATAAAAAAGCGATCGGAAAAGAGATCGAGTGGGAGGATTTTACCGGCTTCTTCGGCTTTCCGCTGAGCCAACTCATCGTCGTTGATAACCTCCTCAGGAATCGCTGAAGAAGCATCATTACTCGGAACCAGAGCCTTCAATCCTCTCAGATTCTTGTTCGGAGACGACAAAATCGAACTTCCGTAGCTTAATTCCTGCGGCATTTTGACGAATCGCGCTCGATTCTCCTTCCAACAATCTCCGATTCCGCAGAAACAAAAGACTCACAGTCAATTCCGCAGGATCGCCCTGCAGCGGGAGAAACGAAAAGAAAAACAAAAATCAAGAAGAAACAAACCAGTCGATCATCGATTCTCGATTCTCGATTTGTTTCTGCAAAATAATATCTACAAACGGCATAGTAATTCAAAATCTTACCTCAAAAGAATGTTGGCGAGTGAAGATTAATAGCTGAGAGTGGGGAACGAGGAAGAAATCATAATGAGTGCAATAAAGAACGGAGGTGGAGAAGATTTGACGAGCTTCTCGTGATTGTTGATCTGAGGATTTCAAAAAATTTTCCGAGGTGTGATTATGAAGTGGTCTCCGACGTGGGGGAGATTGTAGAGAGAGAAACAGAGAAGAGAGAGAGAGAGAGTATAAAGAGAAGTCGAATTGTAACGTTATGGTTTGTTTATGGCCTCCATGAACATGAACCCATGATTAAAAAAAGAATGAACTAAATATTTTTTAATAAAATAATCAATTTTTTGTATTACAACATATTCGCAGGAGATTCAAACTCACAACTTCATGGTCGGAGGAGATTCAAACTCACAACTTCATGATCGAAGGTATATGACAATTACCGTTTAGCTATATTGGCTTTCACAATAACTTGTTTTTTTTAATACTTTTCTACATAGTTTGATCATTTTCCTTTTAAATTTTTGGGCTAAGATTGAATCATCAAGTTTCGAAATTGTAATAGAAAAATATTTGTTTTTTTTATTTTTTTACCTTCCTTTAGATCAATAATATCCGATTGAAGATTCAAGGATCTCTCGTTTATTTTTTTTATTTAACCTATAACTATTGAGCTATGTTTACATTGGTTTAGTTTAACATTTTATTAAAAATACACCTATTAAATTTGATATGGTGGTAAATGTGAAGTACTGATGTTGAGTGTGATAATTTGAATATTCAAATCTATTAGGAATGTTACTAATATTTCAATCAGTTAACTATGTTTTTTCACTAAATTTGTAGAATTTTTTTTAGTATTATAATTGAAGTGAGGATGAGAATTTGAATCTTGAACTTTTAAAACCTTGCTAATCTTTGATAGTAAAATATAAAAACCAATCAAATACTAGAATTGCAAAATAATATTGATAAAAGAAAAAACAATCTATTTTTAGTTACAAAAATGGTAAAATGCATTATATATCTAACAAGTTAGAAGACAGGGGAAGTACAAAAATAGTCTTGATCTATCATTCTAAAACTTTCAATAATACTTTTGATCTTTTATAAATTATCCATTAATATTTTGGACGAAAAAATTGATGTGGTGAAATTTATAAGTTTGAAATCAAAATATAGACAAATATTTAAAATATATTTTTGAAATGTTTAGAAGACCAATGATAGTATTGAAACATTTAAAATGAGATGAGCATTTTTAAAACAAACGGTAATTTTATTACCTAATAAAATTTAAAATTTTAAAAAAAAAGAAAAAGAAAAAACAAACACAACCAATACATTATTATTATTATATTATTTTGATAATGTTATAAAGTACAAATTCCAATGTATTTTTATTCATCGCGATTTACGAATAAAACAAATACAATAAATAAAGAAAAAAACAATATTCAAATTTGAAATTTGAAAATGTAAGAAGATTGTGAGACAACGACGGCCGTTCATTAACGGCAAGCAGTGGAACAGTACCAGAGGCTTTAAGCGGGACGTCAATAAACGAAGCGCCGTCAGAGTTCCATACGGCATATTAAATAAAGAAGTCAGTTTGAGTTTGACTTGAAAAACGGTTATTCCACGTGGCATCAGATGGAGCAAATGCAGATACGACACGTTTATGTCTTCCACGTCGGACTCTATGGGTTTTGATACAGTACATCACTCATATAATGGTACTAATAGTCCTTCCAAAATCAACGGAGGGTTTTGGTAATTATGATTCAAACTGGCGGTTGATTGGTCCTCCGAATCAATTCCAGCATTAGGATTTGTCAGTGACCCCACATCCTTGACCTCGCTGTAATTTTAGCATCAAATAATCTTAATTAAAATCATAAATTTATTTCGACCCTTTGGTCCCTAAAGAATAATCAAAGTTTAGAGACCAAAATAGAATTTTTAAATTCTAATAGACACTTGCAAGTCTAGACTTGAATGGAGATATTTTGAAATTTCGAAGACAAGAATGATAGTTAAGATCTAAGTTGTAAATTTTGGGTTAAAAATTTCAATTTTTAATTGGTTAGAGAGATTATTAATGCCTTAATTTCTTTAAAAGTTTACTAATACCTTAATTAGTTGTTGGTTGGAAATTAAGTATCTAGATAAATTATATTTATTTACATAGATATTAATATTAATTAACAGGAATGCCTAATGTGGCATTCCTCAATACATTAAATATATTTTTATTTAATAAATTTTTTTATAATTCATAATCGAAGTTATTTAACTTTTGGCTTACTTCTTTATCAACGGGGCACCGTGCCCGCTTCAAAGTCTAAATCTAGAAGACGTCAAAAGTTTTTAATACAAAACTCATCGGAGGTTCAAACATAGGACCTTTTTGGTAGGCATTACCAAGAGATTATGTGCCCTTGCCATCAAAGTTGCTCTTCGGGAGAAAATTATTTTGATGGATCACAAATTTTGATCACAAACAAACATTTAATTGGCTTGACCTAACCACTAGCCCAAATTTAATGCAACATTAATTATATTTGACCGTTCATTTGCAATCCCTCCCACTACCAATCAAATAACACTACTTCATCTCGTCAACCTAAGTGTATCCAACTAACTAAAGTATATATTTTTCGATCAAAAGGACAGAGGTTCGAATCTCAACTATCACATGTTGTTGAATTAAAAAAAAAACACCCTTCTTCTAAAATTTTATTTAATGAAACATATCACTAACAATACATGACTTACTAATTTGTAATTTGATTAGTAAACTATATAGTGCCATTATTAGAATAATCTCTTGAAATTCCCTTATAAAATAGAACTATCAAAATTCCATGAAACAATGAATGCAAGAGTGATATGATTAGAGTTGCCTTGTTAATGCCTCAAAACTATTCAAATTCCAAAAATCCATGGGGATCAAGTGGAAATAATTGGATTTGTTGAGCTAATTTTTTTATATTTGTGTAAAGTTGTTTAGAATTTTAGAATTTAAAATGTATATAAATTATTTTAAGTTGTATAATTCCGATACCAACTTTCATACTTATTCTTTAGTACTTCAAATTTTTAATGAATAAAATTATTTTATTCTAGGTCATTATTGTTATTTTTTTAATCATCTAATAAAAGTCATGTTTCATTTCATATTATAAAATTTAACTCACTACCTACGACTTCAAAATATTTCTTTGCATCACATAATAAATAAACATATCACGTCAAGTTCTTTATTTAAAGATTATGGGTAATTTAAAACAAAGACGAAAATGATTTTCTATGCAAATTTTAAAGACCTTAATGAAACAATTGAAAGTTTAATGAACCAAGACAATATAAATAGACAAATACTTACGGACTAGAATAGAATATAATGCAAACTATTATTTTATTCCATATTTAAGAAAACAATATTGTTCATTAGATAGAGAGGAAAAAAAAGGAATGCAAGGTGTAGCCTTCTTTATTTCTTTTGTGTTTTTAATATATGGTTTTTTTTATAGTGACTTAAAATAATGGCTAAGTTTTCTCAAAAAAATAAAATAATGGCTAAGTTTAGCCTCTTTAATCTTGTATTTAAAAAATGTATGATATAATCCATATTTCAACCTTTTTTTTCGGTACGACTATTAGTCTTATTAGAGTATAATTAGCTGGAAATTGCTTGAATTGTTCGACAAATTCCTACCCATTGTGCGTCCGTTCTCCACTTTATTCTCAATTGTGTTATTTTTAGTTTCACTTAAAAGAACCAAAACTAAAAGGGATGCTCTTCTTTTTCATATAATATATGAAATATTCATATATCACTTCTAATTGATGTGAGATATTATATTTACATCTCCAACAAAATTTATTATTTCTTAATTTTACATTTAACCTTTCTATTTTTTTCTTTTTCTGAGTACGTATAGCAAGAGAGGGAAGGATTCGAACTCACGACCTCTTAATTAGAGACACGTGTTAATTACTGTTGAGTTAAACTCACGTTGGTTGAATAAGACCGTTCTCATACCGAGACAATAAAAAAAGAAAGTAGATTAATTTATAGTATACGTTGTGCAACTTTTGAAATGAATAAGATAGAAGAAGGGAAAAGGGTAAAGGGTAAAGGAGAGGGAGAATTATGAACGTTGGATCCTCCAAACTTGAATGATTGCGGAGGCAAACTTTTGGCCATGCGCCCTTTTTTTACATTATGTGCCCCATTTATTCGACCACATTCTCTCTACCAAATTATTATCTTTTTTTCTTACTTTTTTTTTCTCACTTACTTTTATTTTAGTCAAAGGCGTATTCCTAAAGTCTCCTCTCCATTTATTGTTGTGCTAAATAAATTTTTTGTTTCAATCATGTTCATCTCGAAAATGACCAAGCTTCGAATCGGACAAAAGAAAGACCTGGAAAATGAGTCAGACTGTGCTGGGAGACATATAAGAGAAACACTCCAACGTCCAAGTCAGAAAGCATCCGAACTGTATTCGAGAGAAAATACAGTATTCGCTTATCTGGGATAGGAGCATATGGTCCCTATTTATTTAGGTCTCCGACAATGTTCCCTACAGGACCTCAACGGCTCTTTAAGGTAAGCGTGAATCACGGCGTGCTGTCGTGGAGTCTGTCGGAATGAAAGACTGAACCGAGTGCATCCGGGTCGGTTCGACCATGAATGAAATTTTCATTGTGTATAAAATTAGTGTTGAGATTTTGCAAACAATAATCATGGTCACTTTTTTAAAAATACAATAATCAAAATAGACGTTTTGAGAGTATAATGACTAAAATAAACCAAATTTGAAAGTACGTGAATAAAAATGGACATTTTAAAAATATAAAGACTAAAACAAATCAAATTCGGAAGTACAGAGACTTAAAATGGTATTTTAAGCATAAAATTTTATTTTTCACTGATCTATTATCTTCGTTACATATTTAGTTGCTCGTGAAATTCCACTTTTGCCCTTCTTATTTTGAGATCGGGGATAATTTATGTCATGTTTGTCGGTGGAATATATCATTTAGTTTTCTTAACGTTACATAACATCATGTTTTAGTAGCTAATATTTTGTGAAATTTCAACATTTTTGCCCTCGAAGTTGTATCAAATATATTTCTATCGAGTACTAAAAAAATACATATACACATATATTTTTCTATTGAGAGGACTTACTCAACAACATTGTTGAACCTTGAACGGAGGGAAATTGATGTGATATGTAA